GGCTGCGGCTGGTGGCTCTGCGGAGCCGCTCCCGCGCCCAGCAGGAGTCCCGGCCCTCAGCTGCGCACCAGCTGCCTGCAGAGGGGACCCGCACAGCACTCACCTGCGACCAACACCCACCTTGCTGCTTCTTTCTTTAAACTTGGTTGGTGTTTCACCGTAATAATCGTACATATTTACTTTTTTAAAGGGGAAAAAAAATAAATTAAGCACCTTTGCATCTAACCTATGGCCTGTTCCAGAGCGCAACAACCGCGTCACTTGACAAGTATTTCAGTAACGCTCGGGAGAGCTCCAAGAGCTGGCTCACGCCGCTCCACTTGGATGTTGCCACGCACATGGAGAACAGGACACTCTGCCGGGGCACGCTGCCCTTCGGGGGACTGAGCAGAGACGTTCCTGTAGCATGTATCCTAGTGGCCTTATGATTTCTCATCCTGCTTGGAAAGCAGATTGACCACTCCCTGGGTCAGTACTCAAAGGAATAACATCAGAATTATGCTTCAGAAGTCTGAACAGCAAAAAACTCTCCCCAAACTCAACACAACACATTTCTCTACAATGATGTGTCTAAATATCTGGGGAAAGGCTGACAGAGAAGCACATGCTTTCAGCAAGGCAGTGTACAAATATACAGTATTATGACTGTAACTAAATACTAGTTCTACAATAGCAAGAAAACTGCCTTCTCCCCCCCTCTCCTCTAGCAGTGCTTTTTCTGAGGCTCCTTGCTAGCATGTTGCTTTTTACCGTATCCTGTTTCATCATCTGGCTTTCATTCAGAGACCCTATGTAGTTCTACCTCAGCCTAACCTAAACCCTCTGCTTTATTATACAAATGACTCAGTAACATCTTCATAACACTGTGCCCACCCTCGCATGCCATACTCCCTCAGTTCTGGCCCACAAGGCTGCTTCTCCTCTCCTCCCTCCAGTGGCCTTGCCACAAGGCTCACTTCATCTGTGCTGACTAAAAAATGGAACAAAACTAAACAAAAGAAAGGAAAGAATGGTAGGGGTTTGTCGTCTTCCCCCCCCACCGGGAATTTTCCATGCTGAGACAATGCCACTGCTCCTCAAAGAAGAGGTGGACTCCACTGGTGGATATGTACTTGAGGTGGACACAGACTTGAGGTGGACACCACCAGGCAGAGCTGGCATGGCATGCCACATCAGAGCCAGGTGTTACACAAAACTACTAGCTAAAAGAAAACAGAAAACATCCAGGCTCACAAAGCACTCCAGCAAGTTATTTCTCTTTTAGTTTTTATGCTGTGTTTAAACACAACCTCTCACAAACAAGAAGGCTGTCGGTACCACAGCAGTTCATTTGCCAAAAGTCAACAGATGCACAAAAAGGGACTACAATTACTGCCTGCACGGCAAGAAGTCCTTGTAGTGTGACGAAAAGCAAAGCTGCACCATTAAAGAGTTGCTCTACTTCTTCCAGTCAGTTTTGCTATCAAAATCACTGAGAACATCACTTAATCCCATGGGAAAGATTCCACCTCTTGAATGCCCAACTACTACTTTTCCCAGTAGATGAAGTCAGTAATTTAAATAGCTCAGAAACATTTTGCAGAGAGTTAATCCTTTGACATTCTGGAACAGACAACAGCCCTGCTACACTGCTGAAAATCTGGAGTGTTATCTTTTATGTTTCTGTGTTTTATTTGGTATTCACATCACTGTAGCCAAGATAAATTCTACTTTTTGCATGAGTGAATTCACTGCACTGTAAGATTTGCACAAGATTTTTTCCTTTGAAGGAATCTTGCTTCTAGCAGGTGCATATCGTTTGTAGTTCTGTCACTTTTAAATCTAAAGACCTCTATACTGTGCCTCGAAATAGAAAAAAGACAAAGCTAATGAAAACCAGCACAAGCTGTGTGTGCCATTACAACAAATATGATCTATCTCAGCCTCTGATCAAGAACATTACAAGTTCTTCCTTTCTCCTCCCATGAAGAAAAACAAACCCAAAACATCCTCGCCAATTATTTTTGTGACCAGAAAGCATACATTTAAGTATACAACGAATAACTACAAGCAAATAGCTTACTGCAGTGGGAACCAACATTGCTAGTGTCACTGAAAGTTCATGGTAATTCCAATGATCTCTCATAAAAATTCAGCTTCACACTTTGTCCCGTGCGGGACTTGCAGTTTGTATTTCATAGAAACAGTTTTATGAGAGCACTTATGTTAAGAAGTTTGCCTTCCCACATACTGTGACAGCTTCCTTGATAAAAAAAAAAAAGTGAATTATTAATATTATGTGAATTCTAGCCTAACACTAAAGCACATTTATGGTTTTGTCAAACTTCTTCCCTCAGTGCCCACTGATGCACCGAGTCTTCTTGATGCTAACTGTCAGGGAGAATGTTCCCACAGCTGATACTCATTGCTGATCTAAAGACATCAAGTTATTCAAAATGAAATATTAATCCTTTATATAAAGCACAGGAAATAAATGCTGAGGGGAAATGAAATGGAAAACAGTTAAATAACGTGTCATGGCTGCCATGTAAGCCTTTATTCTAGAAGCTGTAGCAGGACTCTCTTGGCTGTGGACAGGTACGAGTGGCACAATGCATTGGCTCTGCAAACTCAGGCAGCAAATTTCAGACACCGGATCATCCAAAAAGACAAAGCCAGGGTTTTTCCTTTACTTGCTTGTTTCTTTCGGGCCTGCAGGGAGAAAGAGACTCAGAGGAGAGAAGGTATTTCAGCCATTGGGAAAGCCCAGTTCTGACTACTTTCTTCTATTTTCAAAACCACTTTCATCATTCACGTCCACGAATCTAAACACGCACATAATCACTGAAGGAGACCCACGGTAGGTTAAAGCGAGCACTGTGCAGTGCTACAGACACCAGTATTTTCAATGGCAAGTGCAATCCCAGAGCCTGGATGAAGCATCTACCTGAAGCGAGCGCTAAGTTCACAGCGGCGAAGGCTGGAGCCTTTCTTCAGCCAACAGGCGCAAGCACACGCAGTTAGAAATTCCCTCTCTGCCCCCAGCTCCTGGGAGAGGCGAGGCAGACCGGCTCTCAAAGCCCCCGCACGCTCGGCAGCTCCGCTGTCACTCCAGGGAGCCGCTGCAGTCGGTTACGGGTTGTCAGATGGGCACTCACCAAGGCTGGCAGAGACCTCCATCCCTCGGCACCACCACACAAGAGTCACAAAAGAGCAATTACAACTTATTATTGCCTTGGTCTTGCGCCGAGCTGGGGGGTGGCCCGGGGCCTGTCCTGCTGTCTGGCGGGCTGTGTGGTCTGTGGTGGGGCTGCCGGGCTGCTCCCGCTCGCACCAGGGCCAGGGCCCCTGCCAGCGCCTCGCTCTTCCTCATGACACTAGTCAGAGCAGGATTTGGCCAGAAAAATGCCTTCTGGAGAAACTGCCCTTCCTTCCAGTCCTCCCCTAGCTCAGATCAAGTATCAGGCGTTAAATAATGAGCTGTTCAGAAACTGTTACTGCTAAGAAGAACTAGTTTTCTATTGTCTCTGGTTGAAGCACGGCTCCATTAATGAATAACCACCAAGAGAATATCAAAAATGTGCTTCATAATGACGTGAATATGAATTCAAATACAAAGAGCAGTATGGTCTTTAACATTATTTTTATGCATAAGGTACTCAGAAGCACTAGAGAAAATAAGTTACACAAAACCACACTTTTTCTTGTTTGTTTGCATCACCTGAAGTAGCTTTAAGCCAGAAGGGTCTGTCAGACTAAAGGCAGAAACATTCAAGCAAGCAAGGATATAGGCAGATGTTTCTGAACATCCTTTATCTCACAGTCACCACAAAAATGGCAACTGTACCTTGCACAGGCACAGAAACAGTCTAATAAGATACTTTTCACAGCTACTTTGGAGGGTGGTATCTCAAGCAGGATGAACCCACAAGTAGTTATGCACCCAACCCATTGATAACCTCAGTAGACAGGTCGATTCCAACATTTCAAATCAGCTTTAGTTTTCATTTATATATTCAATTGAAGTTTATGCTGAATTTTACATGACTGCAAATGTATTCAGTCGTAAGGTCTGAATCCACTGTGAAAGCATGCAAACACTTCAGATCCTAAAGGTAAAACACACAACTGAATATACTGTATTTTGGTGCAAAATGATTTCAGCTGAGCTAGCCTAAAAGGGGAATCGTTGTAAAAACCTGGTGGTAAAGCTAAAATGATAGAGATACAAAATAAATTGGTTTTATTTACAGTACTAATAGTGTGACATCAGTATTATGTATTCTTATTCACTGTCAGTAAAATTTGGAACTGCACATGAGAGCTGCTCATCATTTTGGGCTACAGGAGAAAGAACTAATAATACTCAGTTAAAAAAAAAAGCCCCAACAGTCCTCCAGAGCCAACACACGGGTTGGTGGAGCAGCTGGACTCTATCTGGCTTCAGAAGCAACTATGTGGTATTTTCTGTCTTGATACTGAAATATCAAAGATCAGTCTTTAAAACTAAAACATCAAATCCCAATCCAGAGATGATAAATCCAGTAAAAGAAGCTTGCACACCTATAGAAACAGAGCATGTTACAACTTACCCAATGTATAAATGTACACAAACAAAACATAAACATTATTTGCAAAATAAGTAAAAAAAAAAAAATTCCTCACTTCCAATTACTCGTGAAACAGCAACTAATCACAAAAACGTGCATGTAAAGAAATGATCCTGGAAAAAACAGTCAACTGATACCATGGCATGTGTTTTGTAGACCAGGATTTTCTGAGAATGCTGCAGAGGTGCTAAAGCAAATTGTTACAATGTCACTACACAATGTGCTGTTGAGGTTTTATGGTCACACTGCGCCAATAGTCTCGGGAAGTTACTTCGCATTCTTATATAAACTTTTTTCCCCTGATCCTGTTTTCCACAAAAAAGGGCTTTCAATAATGTACAATCTTCTGTTTATACACAGCACAGGAAAAACATGATAAACCCAAGAACACAATCTCTACTTTAAACATATCTTAAAACTAGATTCCTGCAACTTCATATAAACAAGAACAAGCTGTGAAACGCTCACCAAACTCACCAAAAAAAGAGCATAACCTTCTTGTAATTATACATCAGGGTTTTACACAGCACTTTTTAAAAATCATGAAAATAAAAAAAAAAAGTAAATAAATAGATCAGCCCAGTA